GTTGAAAGTTTTCCAACAATATTCAATTTGCATATATTCCAACAAAGATTTTATCAAACATAATATTTTGTAAATGAAATATTCTTGCAGATGGAATAGTTTTAATTGAAAGAATATTTGGACAAAAAATACTTTTGTAACTTGCGCGCAATTTTTCAAAAACTACCTAAACTTATATGCGTCTGGTTAGACTTGTTCATGATTGTCCGTATCTACTCAAACTGCGCGACCTACTTGCCGCCTGCCTGAATCTCGCTAATCACCTCATCGTATCGCTAGTCTTGAATCCTTCACATTGTTTGTCATGTGTTGGTTCCTCGTTTTTCGTCACCCGCATGGCCTGTCTGCATTGACGTGGCGTAGCCATCTATCAACACCTCACGCATATGGACGTTGACGTGAGTTGACGGAAAGATATGATGTTGGTTGAAGGAATGTGTCATGATCATAATCAGGTTTGTTAAGTTATGTAGTCCCATCGCCCATTATATACCCTGGCAAATCTACCTTTGGTCATGACTGCTTTCATGCAAATACACATCGTTGTACAACATACATTGCTTGTTGTGGTACACTTGTGTTTGTGTATGTTCTCCTTTATGATTTGTGTGTATGTATGTATGATATGTCAGCGATGTTTGTTGTATCACGATGTGTATTCACACGAAAAATGACGTGGCAAGACGTGACGTATGACGTGTTAACAATGTCTATCTAACAAATGCGTTGTCAGCGGAGACAACACATATTGTTGCGGTTTTGATCCCTGCCTACACTTCTAAGCGCGCATCCTCTAGATGACCTCTCGCGCCTCTGCGCGGCCTAGCGTATGTGTCTCGCTGCATGCGTGGCCACTTTCAAATTGTCTCCAGCACGTTTGGCCGTTGCTCGACCTTGTGCACCTTTGCGCAATTGCGCTGTTCAGCCTCGCAAGCCTCCACACTGCGTGCATGGTCGGGGCTTTCTGCAACCTCACTCGCCTTGAGTCTTCGCGCTCCTTGAGTCTTGCATGTTGCTTGGCCGGGATTTGCTCAATTTGTGAAAAATGTGTCGTAAGATTCAAGAGATTTTGATTCACATGACTCTGAATTTGACTTCGTCCGCACTTGTGGTCGGTCCTCTATCAAAATTTCTCTGAACGCCTCCCATCACGGCTGTTGAATTTGTGCACCTGGTCGTGATTTTGCAACTAACTTCGCCTACTATCGCGCTTTCGAATTTACTTGCCTGTGCTTGCTTCCACTTGAACGTCTTACTGAAACTCACCTCAAGAATAAACTGTCACTTAAATTTATATCATCATCTGAAAATTCCTGAAAATTTGACGTATTCATACGTCAAATTTTTGTTAGTAGTCACTAGGGTAATTATCTCAAGGCCTAATGACCTAGCAACACTTCCTAACTATATTTAGCTATAACCAAGATTACTACTTAACATGAGTTAATCTCAACAGATTTAACAAGTTGTGATAAATTGGTCATGATCATGAGTCATTGTCTTTCTATTTTCTTTAACAATATTGATATCTCATGTGAAATCTTTTGTAAACAATATGAACTAATGCTAATTGATTTAAAAACTTGTTAGAATAATCAGTGTTCATCAATATTATTTCATGACTAATTAAGAGAAGATCTATTTTAATTCTATTTATTAAATATATATATATATATCTACTATAGTTTAAAACCTTCTATGTTGATTGGATTAAAAATATTTACATTGTGATAATGCTAGTATACACAAATATAAATATATCCAAGCAGTTTGATTTGTTTACAAGAATAGAAATTCATGTCTAGGCAAAAACCTACCAGTTTTTTAACTTGAAATAAAATAATATGTATGGTTAATTTAAGCTTCTTAAATGACTAAGAAAAGTAAAAAACATTACATCAATATTCTAAAGTAGTTTTAAAATTTTATTTTTGACTATTATCTCATTTGAAAAAAATATGATTATAATTTGGAAAATTTCACTATCAATCCATTTCTTTTGTAAACATTATAATTTGCAAGAAATAGCTTATATTTTTTATATCTAAATAACAAGATAGATTATATTAATGTGATAATTTTTTGAACTTGAATATAGTTTGTACTTACTGTTCAAAAGTGTCAAGATATTTAGGTTTTTAAGGTTTCTCTAAATAAATCATATTTTCTCATAAAGTTACTTCAAATATTAATTCTTTCACTCTGACTTTATTGTACAAACGTGATTTTTTAGCATTTAATAATTTTATGTCGATATATGATACAGTATTTGTATTGATAAATTTTTGAAATAATCATAGTAGGAGTAATTACATATATTATTTATTATTGCACAATACGTTGAATTTTAGAAGAAGATTTTATAGATTTTTGCAACAATTATCAATTAAAAAATGTGAAGTATGATTTGAACTTTTGCAAGTGTCCGGTATCAACAAAAGTAGAGATGTTAATATAGATGTTTTGACTATATTTTAGTAGTTTTTTTGTTGGAAGATACATATGTTTACAACATATCATCATGAGTATAAATAAAACTAAAAATATTTCCATATTTTCACAAATAAAATTCTATCATTCTTTCGTCATTGTCTAAGAAAGGAACATTTCAAGAATTCATATTATTAGCTTAATTTTCTCATAAATTAACTCAATTATAAAGAATTTGGACTCTAAAATGAAGATATAAAGCATTATCCTAGTTGAATCTAGTTGCTACTGTCAAGGACATAGAATTTTTTATTGTATATAGCTGTGATGATCACAACGACGACTCATTCCAAAGTCGATGGAATGATTTTGGCACTCAAACACTTTGAAAATTTTACAAAATACGAAATGTGTCAATTCACTGAAGGATTTAAACTATTTAATGTTGATGTCAATTTACTCGATTTTGTCTGATGAAAAAAATTGTAGAATGTATATATCGTATAAAAAGCATTTACAATGGTACCGTGTTCGGTAATTTTTATCCAAAATCTTCATCAGTGATGGATTCGTGGAAATGGTTACTTTTATGAGCGCTTGATTGTACTTCTATATTTGTAGTTTGGACAACGAATACGAAGACAAGATCGGCCATGGCCAGCGGAAGACAACGGAGAAGATTCAGACCTCGAGACCGGTCTGAATCTGAAGGGTTACGTGAATAAACACACATGCTGTCGCTGGGCACGCGAAATCGGAGGCTCGTGGAATCGGAACCAATGCGAAACTCGGTGAAGATCGAGTTATCAGAGTACGTGCATACGTGGATCTTTCACAGCGACCGAGGAAACAAAAGATAATCTGTGCATCGAGACCCGAATGGATGATAGCGCGCGCGGAGGGACGAGCATTAAAATCACGGAAAGGGCTTGCGGCAGAGGGAGGGGAGGGGGGGGCCACTTTTGCGAAGCGTGCCACGGGCGGAAGCGGGGACTTTCCTTTTCCAGCCGCGTGCAGGGGCGAGGGGAAGGGGTTCGTTCGAGCTCACGTCGATCGGCGGAGTTTTGCGGCGCGTCTTTGGATTGTTTCTGACAGGCACGGAAGGCCATGCCTGGGCTCCTTGCTCCACGTACGCAGGCAGGCAGCCAGGCCATGGGATGTCACCATTCTCTCTCTCTCTCACACAGCGAGCGCGTCGTCAGGCCGAGCACGAATTTGCTGCTCAGTAGTCCAAGCTGCGGCCTATGGGCTCCTGCCAGGCCTACTGCCACTTCCTCGCCTTTATCTGAACTTTTGCCCCTGCGGCCCGGCGGCCCTCCGGGCAGCCCGCCGATAAGAACAAAGCTGCGTACGCAGTACGGTCGTCGTCGTCGTCGTCAGCCAGAAGGCGGTACTGAGGATGGATGGAGGACTGTTCTGCTGCAGCTGGAGGCGCTTGCTTCCTCCCTCGGCTGAAGCTCTTGGGGCAGGGGCAGGGGCAAGGCCAGGGGCAGAGGCAGGGGCAGCGGTCGAGCCCGGCTTTTCCCAGAGGCCCGACGGGGGAGGAGGTGAGAGTCTCGCACAGACGCAGACGACGACGACGACGACGCCGCGATGGGCCGCATGGCAGACGAACGGCAGTGGGAGGTCTGCAGAGCCTGCCGATCTGCCAATCTGCCTGCCCTAGCCTGCCCGGCGCTGCCCTGCCTGCTTGGCTGCCTGCAAGAACGCCCGGGCCGTCGGGGGGCCTGGGTCGTCTCTCGATGTCTCGGTCTGCGATGTGTTGCTTTGCCAACCCGGCAAGAGGGTTCATTGCGTTTCGCGTGGTGTTAGCGGGATTGTTGCAAAGCGTGAGAAAAGCTGATGATATAAAGTGCAGGAATGGAATGGATCAGAGATGCAATGGAGCACAAACCGCACTGTTGCCGTTCGTTTTTGTGTGGAGGATTCAGGTGTTTGTTGTGCGTTGCTGGTGATCCCCTGTGCGTCTTTACAGCTTTCTCGGTCTTGTTTTTCAACCTGGAGAGCTGTACGATTATCCCATATCACACACAAGCGTTAGTTTATTCGGGCGCCCTCTTCGATCGCTGTCTTTGTCTTTGTGTTCCTTTGTTGGCTCTGTACAACAGCGAACACTGCCATGTTAGAGGTCCGCCCTTGAAATTGTCGGGCAAGATCGCCGTGCGTGGTGCTCTTTCACTATCAGACCCTTTTCTAGATCTGCTGGCAGAAGAGCACTTACCCTCTACATGACATGTTTCGCTCATCTGATTTTGGGCACCGTTGAGGTTGCTGCGAGTCAGAACCAAAGCTTTCATGTGGACAAGACAACGAGCTCATTCAGCCATAAGTTCCAAACAACCCACTGGATCAGCTCCTCCATGAATGATTGCTTAAAATCGCAAGTTAGATATTTTCTAATCACAAAAGTTCCTATCATGCCTCAAGTCGACGCCTTTTGTGTTTAAGTAGCTCTTTGGAGAGCACATTATGGCAACGTGTGACGCGAATGGATACGCAGAAGGTTGCAGACTGTTTCGGAGCGCCGTAGTGGGAAAGAAGAAATAAAAAAATTTACTTTCTAAGAGAAGATGTTTCGAAATCATTTCCGATGTAGAGCTTCGAGGAAGAGTGCAACTATACAAAAGGCTATCTTTTCATATATCTTACTGACAGTAAAGGTGACTAAGGTGACCCCAATCCACGTCATCTAGCTGTGCAAATGTCGAGGCTACAGATTATTGTGCAAATTGGACATGTATAGAGTGTGTGCGCAATCTAGGTTACGTATGAATGAACTCTCTTGTAAAGAACGTCATCTGCTCTCTAAGGAGGAGACTTATATTACGTTCTATACATGTCAAGAGTCATCAGCTTTTAGGTCGTTTACACTCTTCGGGCATGGAATGTAATAAATTGATGGATTGCACATATTCTCTCTCTCTCTCTCTCTCTCTCTCTCTCTCTTGCATTGTTGCCTCCGTTATTTGAGATACTTAAGAGTTTTTCTATCATTATAGAGTTCAGAGTCATTTGGTATGCCAAGGGCAGGCATGCACTTACTGGAGTGAAAGGAAGACGCATAATATCAAAAGGAAGATGACTGAAACCATAAGATACAATGGAAACCTCAGCCAAATGACCAGGAACAAGGAACGAGGATCAACGATGAATCTACTCCCTCTCCGCATGTTTAAAGTTTTCACGGTGGTACTTGAAACATGCACACGCAATAGAATCACATTCTACTTGCATGGCAGATCGGCATCCGGAGGGAAATTGGCCGTATTTGCCGTAGATTGCCAGAAAAACATCTGCATGTCACGTAAACATTAAATATTAGGTATCTTTCCTGATTCTATGACAAACAACAAAAATACCCTGGTAGAAGTTTGCAGTTATGTTATTATTCTACAATTTCCAAAGATATAAGTGAAACACGAGGAGATTCCCAAACAGTTGGTATTGCTAATAACTCGTAAAGGAAGAGTTCACAAGTGGCTTGTCGTATTACTCGAACATGCCAATCTCCATGTATATATATAAAATACACTTCACGCAATATATAATGTAAAAAAATATTTCATAATCAAATTCAAAAAACTGTACCACTACATCAATGTTCTTAGTACCACTATGCAATACTAGGAAAATATTTCTTTAGAGTAAAAAACTGGTTGATGGTCTATACATGACAAATAACAGACTTGTAACTTGTAGCGTATCGCATATATCTGAAGACACCAATCTCTCATCTGATGTCGTTGATTTCTCAGTAATGCAAGACCTCCACCTAATACTGCGATTTCCGACCTCCGTTCGTAATTATGCTGGTATGTCTTAAACTTGGAGGAAAGAACAACATAAGTAGTCTAGAATTTATTATCCAATAGTTGGTAAACAAGTATCTAAACACTTCAAAAGCATCGATGATTAAAATTTTGTTTTCAAGAGAAGTTAGTATCTGAAGATATCAATCTCCAATTTTATTACTTACTTTAGTGAATAACACGAATATAATTAATTTCTATGTGATTCACTTAACACAATTGAAAACATGGCTATGAACTTAGAATGATATGTGAGGTCATCATCCACATTTGATCCTTCAGTTTGAACCATTGACAGCCACATAATGTTATCTATATCTTAAATTCATGATTGGAAACGAAAATTCCCTTCGTGAGAGAGAATGAAGAACATCACCAAACGTATGTTTTAGATTACCTTATGTTGTAGATTCTCCTCCTTTCCCACGGAGATGCCTGAATGGAGGAGAATAAAGACATCTCCAACGATGCTCTCCTAGGTGGACGCTGCAGTGTATGTCTGAAGTATCACAAACGATTTATTAATTTTGATGTCCTTCCGATCCTTTTTGCTGGATTAGTAGGTTTTCCCAATTAGAGGTTCTAGAATTGGTCAAAGCTTACTCCTCCTCGTGCAAATGATGTCTGGAAAATATCCGTTTATTTCATAGGCAAGAAGCCGACGAATGCACGAAGTTATATGAAGATACTGAGTGATGTCATCCACGTGTTAAGCACGCACTTCTTAGATTCTAAAGAAAACTCTTCACCAATGTTTGTAGTGTGGATAGCTTTTCATGAAGTGGCCTTTGGATTATCGAAGTGGATCAGGATATGTTAGAGGTACCAATCATCCATGTTTACAGTCATGAAATGTAAACATACTAACGTATTAAAACCCAGAGCTAGGTCCAACTTCTTAGGAAGTTTGCTCTAAAAAATTGCTTCAGCTAAAAAAAATTGCTTCAGGGACTAATCGTTTCCGGGGTGCGACCTTCTGCCAGCATGGGCAGTTCTTATCCTGTTCCTTACATAGGGCTTCCCAGATTTATTACTGCCTCTAGTTTATGACAATTATCAGAAGGTCTTTTGAGTGGAAGAGATAAATAAATTTATTTTTTAAATGTCCAGTTCTAGTTTGGCCTCGAGAATCTTCTTACATACCTGTTTTACTTAACACAGTAAAAAATCTACACAATTCCCCTATGTGAAAGCCTATTCTTTACCGTAGCAAGAGGAGGTTTCATATGACCCTTTACAGCAATCCCGTTATATGTTTTGTCGGTAACGGGGATAAATATTTCTGGAAACGTATCACCTATCTTTCATGGATGGATACCTTATTTATGTACAATTACAAATCAGTAGTAAAACACTGATGGGAACAAGTACTGGGTTTTCTAGAAATTACTCATATCCATATCATTATATTACGGGGTCTATATCTCGAATCACCCCCAATAAATCACTTTGTTCACAAGGTTGGGCACGTTGCTGAAACGATGATCTCAATGCATTAGAACTATTCGTTGTGATGAATATCAACAGGCTGGATATTGATGGAACCCTAGGAAACTCGTCACTGTGACTATTTTGCATAGCGTCAACTTCTGATACTCACTCAACATCTGTACAAATATGGAAACATCTGGGATTGAGGATGAACAATGTTAAACAGAATCTTAGATGTCCTTAGAAGAACTAGTCACAAAAGCTTTTTCAATACAATCACGTGATTATGGAATATGCATCATTCTGAATATCAGCGTGTATCAATACATGTACAAAATCAATTTGCAACGTACAAGATAGTAATTAACCGACATGAGTATAATGACCTGCCATCACAACTACTTATCAGAACACTTAACCGATGACCTGGATCTACAGGCGGGTATGAGCAGGTACGGGACTGCGTCGGGGGAGTGAGAATCACCTCAAAAACCCGAGATTACGGTATGATAGACATCACCGTTCCATATTAGTCGTGGTACAGGAAGAATGCTTCCTGTACCAGCCCCATAATGTTAAAGTCGGAATCATCTTATTCCCGCTTGAAGACAATGTGGAGACATATGGTACAGAGCTGGCCCATCAGTCCGAGGATTATTTCCATAGCCAAGCGCAGTTCCAAAAGTAGTTGTTTTTGCATACGGAGAAAGATTATGGGCAAGTTACGAAGACACTTGCGCTACCACGGACGTCACGCCCGCACATAAAACAAACCTACAACTCGGCGCATATGGATTTGGGCCTGCGGCTGGTTCTTTCCTGATTTTGCTAATAAAATATTTCGATTCGCTCATTCCTCACCATTATTTGCTCGAAAACCTCATACTGTGCTGTCGTTGTCGAGTCTTACATCTGCTGACAAGATAGTGCACAGCAATAGGAAGCCAAGTCAAGAAGGAATATCCCAAGCAGCAAGAATCATCACATCAATACGCAAGTGAATCATGTACAGTAAGGAACGGCAGAGCACGAAGTGAAACATTTATGGTAGACAGGAGCATGTTGCTTGATTGAGAGAGAGAGAGAGGGGCGAGTATATTTTAAGTAGCATCAAGAACCGGTCGCACAACCATCTACCGAACACCCCAATCGTGTTCTTTAAAACTAATCGAAACACAGAGCAAACCGTCTCCACCAAAAACAGTGCATGTTTCTCTCGAGAAAGAAAGAAAGAAAGACTGAAAAGAACAAACAAGCAAACATCAACTGTGAGATACAGCGAAATGATTTGCGGGATCGGCCGAGTGCGATGCAGCGAATGACGTCAGCCGAGAGAGAGCCCGGGGACTCGGGCTTTCAAAAAATGCCTCGTTGCTTGCCCGTCGTCGTCTCGCTACGTCGCGTTACACGGCATTCCGAGGCATTCCGAGACGCAGACAGCGCAGCAGCGAGCGCGCGCTCGTCCCACACCGTCGGAAGCTCTGCCGAGCTCCTCCTCGAATTTTCGATCCATGGTCACAGCCAAGCAAAAGAGGCGTGTGCACGTTTGCTAGCGAGGGAGGGAGGGAGGGAGGGAGGGAGGGCCGAAGCGCGGATGGAAGGGTTTAGAAAGTCGAAGGGAAGATTAAATGATAAATCACGTGCAGCAGGAAGCAACGGCTTCCGGAAGGAGTTCCGTAGCATAGCATAGCGTAGCATGCGGGGCCCTGGTGGGGGCAGAGGGTGAGCTGGCGACAGCTTGGGGAAATTCTGCCGCACCGGCGTATCAGAGGCCGCCATGTGTCGTCCTTGTCAGGCCAGTTGCCATGCGGACCGGACCGCACCGGATTGGAAATTCTCGGCTTGTCAGCTGCCAGATTTGCGACCCGCGAGCAGCAGCTGGTGAGAAGCTGCGGCTGCTGCCTGCCGGCCCATGATGATTCGGCGGGCGAGCGCGAGCGCGAGAGCATGTGTTCTGAACTTCTGGGCCTCGGGGGCCTCGGGGGCGGACGAATCACATCGAAAGAATCCTCGCCTAAGGCAAAAGAGAGCACCCGGTCTTTATGGGAGACACATCCTCCTCCACGGAAGGAATGTCTCAGGCGACATAAGTGGAAGCTGGATCATGATGCAGAAGCGGCTGAACTATGCATTTGCCAGTCTCCGGAACCGAGACTGGAATATATTTTCGAGGACGATTGTAAACATAGACTGTCGGCACGAAACCACGTGCTTGCTGGTTGCCCAAATTCCAGAGACAGTGAGCTTCTGATCAGTCTGCTGAAGCTGGCTGGCTGGCTGCTCGCTCTATCTATCTTGTGTTTTTCTAAAGTTCTTCGTTCTCGGATCACACTGCTCGGTCTGCAAAAGCTCATCACCGCCTCTGGTGTCGTCGATTTCCCAGCCTTTTTGTTATGTCTGCGAAAGCTCATTACCCCCTCTAGTATCTTCACTGTCCCCCGGTTTCTGTATCTTAAAATTCGAACATCTCCATACAGACTTTATTGTGTGCTTATCTGCTTTTTGCCATCTTGTATCATTGGCCTTAGATTTCCCGTCGTTAAACGATGCCAGAAGTCCTGATCTCCTTGAAGCTTGATCTACGTGTCCAGATTGAGGCACACACTCTAATCTCAGAAGGAAAAAAGGAGGAGAAAAAGACCAAAAGAAGCCTCTGATTCCTCTAACTTATTCGATTATTCTCCCATAATTTTGGCCAAAAAAACCTATTGAATAGTTACTCCAACAAATGAATTATGAAATCTTGTCCAATTTAACTAGACGCGAAACAAATTGCTTCCCACAGTACATCCCTTTTTATTAGTTCTTGACTTCTGCTTCAATTTTCATTCATCAACATAGACAACCTAAATATGTATATCAACCTAAAAGCTTGTTTTTCTTTTAGAAATTGCGTAGATTTCCATTGTTTGAAATTTATTCAAAATAGATGTTTTATTCTTACATGATGAATTGATTTATCATTTTGACATTCTAGTATTCTATATGATATGACATCAAACCTTTTTGAGAATACAAAGTACTGGTTGATCCTCGTAATGAAATACACGTTTTAAAATCACTGAATTTTTAGTTTCAATTTTGAATTTCATAGTAATTTCCAAAGACAATTCAGCGATAAGTTGCAGAAATTCATAGTAAATTTTAGTGAATAAAAAAAGGAAAAAATTTAAGCACTCTTTAACTTTCTTATTACGTTTTTATTTTCAAAATATATCGACATATTGTGATATTATTAGTTAAAACTGGAATGAGGTTGAGCTATAAAAATAAACCTTTTTTTTCCAACAAGTAATTACTGTTTATTATACATCAATATAAATTCACAAGAAAATGTAACAATTTTCCCAAGAGTTGGCGCTTTTATAAATTTATTTAATTTTTGATTTTATATACATATAATTTTATATTTCATTCAGAAAAGATGAAATTTCATATCTGAGAAATATAAATCTATTGAAAAATATCAATCGTGAAATGGATCATATCAGATCTTATTGTTCAGAAATTTTCTTTCAGATTTCTTTAAAAGAAATTTTTGAACAATAAGATCAATTGAAAAGTTGACATTTTTTTTATACCTTGTTTTCATTTTTTTATTGAATTTTCCTTCAGATTATAAACAATGTTGCTTCTCATTATTTATCAAACAACCTGTTTCACATCAATTTTAGGATTGTTAATTTTAATGAATATACTTATGTATAAGGCGTGGGCTTTTGTTAATAGATCGTCAAGTTGATGGAGTTTGGTACGTTCTATTGATTTCATTTCTGCTATCTTTTTATTTTTGGGTATATTATCAAATAAATATTCAACATTGTTTTCCTTCTGAATTTTTAAAAATAAATGTCTTGATATTCATTGCTGATAGTGCAGAAAAACACTAATGCAACTTACTACCGAATTTTTGGTCACTTTGATCACAAATGAGATGGATTTGCAGTGATGTCAAATTTCAACATTTATAGAAAAATATTAATTAAATTTCAAGAAAAAAGTTAAGACACCAATGCCTGAATTATGTATGTCTGAATAATTTCAATTGATACTATTCAAACAAATGGTTAAATATTTGTCAGTAGGATATCAATTGATACAAATTGTGATATCAATTTCATGGAACCTGCTTATTTACTATTTTTAAAGTATTCAGCACACATGATTAATATTCAAGCAGTTTTAAATTTATGTGAATCAGTTTATACACATATGTTTTGGGTATATCAAATATTTCCTAATTTAGAAGTGGAATGAAGGCAAAAAGGTTTTCTTTAAACGAATTTTAAATTTTGATAGAGATTTTATGATCATTAAAGTAAAGGACCCTGAACTTTTGATGCATACGACCTTATACTCAAAAAATAAAGCATTCTCTCAGAACGCATTTGGGTTCTGAAAGACAAGTGTAAGAAATAAGGTCGTATATCGGAGCTGTCCTCTCGTGACATTTGTTCTTTTGCTTGGCTGATTGCAGAAAAGTGTGATGACTTGAAATGACACCAGACTAAGAATTTATCGAAAACTTTTCTGACACTAGAAATATCTACCGATTGTATGTTGCTTGACGAAGATAGGCACAACACATTCTTAAAGAGGCAAACCCCAATGAAGTGTGAGGAAAATCCGATTCAACGAGAGATACGATTTAAAAATGCATTTAAAAGGAGAAAACAGAAAGGAGATGTTCATTAAAGAAATGCATGGAAAATGGTGGATCTATTTGAAAGATTCGTGCAAGTAATTAAACAGTCTCCAGTCAAGGAACCGAATGATTGATTTCTAACTTATATTTTGTCTTTGTTCCAGGAACAGCCAGTTTATGCTCGTTTTCCTTCTAAGTCCAGAACGAAGTACAATAGTGACTGATAATGTTGCACACGAAAATTCCAAACAACACGTTCCTTTGATGGGTTTGGATAACCTGTAAAGTCGAGACAAAGTCCATACATAGCAATTCGCCTTGCCCTGCCCGGCTCACAATTTTGGCCCTTGCTGTCGTTAGGCTCCACTCTTTCCTTCAAGTCTGTCGTTTGCCCAGGACCCTCGTGGAGCGTGGCCCAAGCTAGACCTAGGCAGCAGCAGCTAACTTAGAGAGAGGACCTTGGCATGGGACCAGGGATCGTCCGACAGGGGGAAAATCCACAGTGTGTAGGCAAGGACCCCACCGGAAGGCGACACGGACGGTCCCAGACGGTCCGACGGCGCGTCATCGAGTTTCTCACTTCGACGGTAGCACGTGGTTGAAATCAACAATGCGCGTCTGTCGACAGTGACGGTTCGCCGTCAGCATTCGGTCAGAGACGACGGGCAGGTACGTTTTCCTTGGGGACCGCGAACAGAACATCCGAAGAGCGTTGTTTGCCGCGGAAGGTGCCACGCAATAGCCCACGCTCCTGGGCCTGGATCGCTCAACGTTTTCCACATGCGCATTCCGCACGTGAGCTATTCGAGCTCCTTCCCATGTCAACGCAATATCGTCTCCACGGGCAACCGGCACAGGCAGGACGACATTCGTACGATCCCGAAGCCCTTGAACTTTGTCCTGTCCTTCGTAACTTCATACGCTCCAGGGCTTGAAACTTGAAACTTCCCCATGCAACCCTACGGACTCTCTATACGGGGCCGTCTATACTATACTGAGCGTCCATAATACGGGGTGTCGAAAGTTCAGAATAGGCGGCATCAGGCCACCAGGAAACTTCCCATGCAATATTCCGTAAACAGTAGCGGGAGGCAAAATACGGAATATTGCATGGGATGTCATCGTGGGAACGGCGAAGGCGGAGCCGTGGAAGGCATCCGTCTGTCGGAAATGGGGGCCGAGAACAGTCCGTGAACTACAGCTCGTATGGAAGAAGGGCCGTCGTCGCGTGAGGCACGTCGCCGCACACGGCGCGCGGGGACAGGACGCGGATCGGAGGAGCATCGCGAGGGGAGGACGCCGAGGATGCGCGAGGGAAAGGGCTGCGATGCGAGAGCCACGTCGCGCGACCGGAGCGCGACGAGGGCTACGATCGGCCCACGTCGTCGGGTCTCACTGTCTGAGGCCGAAATTGCAGTGGCCATGGAGGTCGTTAAATCTGCAAGATCTTCGTCCGAGGATTCAAGTCCCGTTAAGTGTTACAAATCATCATCATCATTGCGCCGGGCCACCTCATCGTTCGTCTGCCCGTCGGGTCGTTGACTCTTTAAGCTTCTCGTGGTGGCAGCTGGACAGAGCTCGACAGGAGTTCCAACCCTGGAGGTGACCGCGGCCTCCGAAAGGAGCGAGCGGACGGACTCCCTCAAGCACGGACGGACAGGTTGCATTACGTCGCATCACACGGTCGCACCACATCACTCGCTCGGTTGTGAGTTAAGGTTCGAGGAATCCAGGCTCACTGCGGTACTACGTGATTCTTATGACGGTATGGCATGCAGTCGGGCCGGATTGGCGCAGCTGGGCCGGGAAGACCAGGATGCGGAACGTGCTTGAAGGTTCCCTCCTTGAAAAGGCCCGGACCTTTTCCGGGCCCCTGTTCTTTACTTGGTTACAGTATTTTCTTCACCCTACGCTGTCAGCATGCATGTGCAGCATC